AAGAAATGATTCTAACGACACTGTCAACATCTTCAGTTCTTCCCAAGGGTAGCGTAAAATTCACACACACAATGTAAAGCCAATTAGATCAACATTCTGTCCTCACCAATCCATACCTAAATCCTTATTTCAAATTGGCCCCCAATTTTTCAGAATTTAAGAAGACTGAGAGGAATAACCACGAACAAGCAAGGTTTACGCAGACGTCAGTCTTCCCAACTCTCGCTCAGGAACTCACCCCAAACTCCTCCTGTGGAATCAGCCTGGGTAACAGTCCCTGGTGGCCGCACAAGAACAGAGGGTTCCACAAACCCACGACAGACCCCACCCTCCAGGCCCAGGCAGAGGAGGGAGGCGGACGGTCACGAAGCCGGAAAAGCAGGGAACTGTGATTCTTCTGACTTAATGTAGGCGATTGGGCCAAAAAACAAGGCACATCCACCTGTGAATGGGGTGAGCTCCCAGCTGGCTGCGCAGAGGCTGTAGATATGAAGGAACTCGCTTCCCTGCACACTGAAGTGCATCAGCGTCTCCACATCGGCTGCACCGGGGCTCTGCTCGCCCCTCACAGACTAGGATGACAGTGGCAATGTCTGGACAGAATGTCAAGGACGGATGGACAGACAACCTGGACAGACACTGTACAGAGACCAGGGGCTAGGCAGGGGGAAGCGGCAAAACCTTGGGGCCAGCAGGGGCGAGGCCAGGAAGGCTCGGTGAAGGCCTGCATCTCCTCATCCAACAGAAGCAGGAGCGGCCACCCAGTGAGGGCTGCAGCTGCGGCGAAGTGTCCAGTGGGACACAGCAGGAGGCCGGGGCTAGCCCTGCCCCCAGCCCAGGAGGAGGGGCCCAGCTGCAGGCACTGCCTCAGAAGCCAGCATCCTGAGCCCCCAGGGAAGGTGGGAAATTGCCCCTGGGCACTGGGCGCTCAGGCTGGAGGCGGTGAGACCTCGAGGCCCAGCAGTCGGGGAGGCGAGGGCAGAGGTGGCCAAACTGCAGCTCAGTGAAGGGCTTTGTCAGGAAAGGCCCCCAGAGGCTGCCTCACCAGCCCGGGGGAGGTTACTCCTGGCCCAGAGGCTCAAGAGGGCCCTCGGCGGTGACGCTTAACCTTGTCCTCTGACAGAGGACCATCGAGACAGAGTCACTCAAACCTCTGCCAAGCTCTGCACCAAGTGAAGCTGTTACCACAGACGCTGAGGCAGGCAGTGCTCATCTCAACTCTGTACAAGTGGTTTCTTTAGCCAGTTGTCCAAATTCTTAATGACAAACCACACTAAATGTGTGTTTTCAGCATCACCTATGCTCATAGCTATGTATAAAATAACTATCACAAGGAAAACTAGGTGGTGAACCCAGGAGGAGGAAATCCCCACGGCCAGTGGAGAGAACACCAACGGACCGTTGGCTCTTCCCGGCTGAACCCAAGAGCGCTTGGCTGGGCTCACTTCCGTTCTAATTTCCAGATTTATTTTTACTTTC